TTTTCTTTTTAGGGACTTTCTTTCTTTTTGGGCCACCCTGCCTTGGTGAGAGATGGCCGACTTCTTTAAAAAAAAAAATACGTATGTAATAATAATTCAGAATTCTGCCACTGGATGTCACTACTGATGCCAAAACATCGTACACATGTTTACATTGCTACGGGAGCAGTTCTCTCGTGCTTGTTTGCTTTTTTTTTTTACAGTCATTTGGCCAAATTCTTTTTTCTAACCATGGGTCCTAAGAAAATAAGTGCAAAAACAGTGCTGAGAAGAAAAGGACGATGATTTCCATGGACTTAACAGGCAATACATCATACACTGCACCCTCAACATCCCCCACCTTCGACATCCTCCACCTTCAGCATCCCCCACCCTCAACATCCCTCATCCTCAGCATCCCCCACCCTCAGCATCCTCCACCCTCAGCATCCCCCACCCTAATCATCCCCCACCCTCAACATCCCTCACCCTCAGTATCCCCCACCCTCAACATCCCCCACCCTCAACATTCCCCATCCTCAACCTCCAAGTGTTCTAAGTACATACATATACATTTTATAAAAACAGTTTTTATACGATATTTCTTATTTATAAAAACATTGTATACCATCTTTTAGGAGTGAAGAAGAGCAGAATGTAAGTGTGGGGGAGGTACGTGAGGCATTACGTAAAATGAAAGGGGGTAAAGCAGCTGGAACTGATGGGATCATGACAGAAATGTTAAAAGCAGGGGGGGATATAGTGTTGGAGTGGTTGGTACTTTTGTTTAATAAATGTATGAAAGAGGGGAAGGTACCTAGGGATTGGCAGAGAGCATGTATAGTCCCTTTATATAAAGGGAAAGGGGACAAAAGAGACTGTAAAAATTATAGAGGAATAAGCTTACTGAGTATACCAGGAAAAGTGTACGGTTAGGGTTTATAATTGAAAGAATTAGAGGTAAGACAGAATGTAGGATTGCGGATGAGCAAGGAGGTTTTAGAGTGGTAGGGGATGTGTAGATCAGGTGTTTACATGAAGCATATATGTGAACAGTATTTAGATAAAGATAGGGAAGTTTTTATTGCATTTATGGATTTAGAAAAGGCATATGATAGAGTGGATAGAGGAGCAATGTGGCAGATGTTGCAAGTATATGGAATAGGTGGTAAGTTATTAAATGCTGTAAAGAGTTTTTATGAGGATAGTGAGGCTCAGGTTAGGGTGTGTAGAAGAGAGGGAGACTACTTCCCGGTAAAAGTAGGTCTTAGACAGGGATGTGTAATGTCAACATGGTTGTTAATATATTATAGATGGGGTTGTAAAGGAAGTAAATGCTAGGGTGTTGGGAGAGGGGTGGGATTAAATTATGGGGAATCAAATTCAAAATGGGAATTGACACAGTTACTTTTTGCTGATGATACTGTGCTTATGGGAGATTCTAAAGAAAAATTGCAAAGGTTAGTGGATGAGTTTGGGAATGTGTTGTAAAGGTAGAAAGTTGAAAGTGAACATAGAAAAGAGTAAGGTGATGAGGGTGTCAAATGATTTAGATAAAGAAAAATTGGATATCAAATTGGGGAGGAGGAGTATGGAAGAGTGAATGTTTTCAGATACTTGGGAGTTGACGTGTCGGCGGATGGATTTATGAAGGATGAGGTTAATCATAGAATTGATGAGGGAAAAAAGGTGAGTGGTGCGTTGAGGTATATGTGGAGTCAAAAAAACTTATCTATGGAGGCAAAGAAGGGAATGTATGAAAGTATAGTAGTACCAACACTCTTATATGGGTGTGAAGCTTGGGTGGTAAATGCAGCAGCGAGGAACGGTTGGAGGCAGCGGAGATGTCCTGTTTAAGGGCAATGTTGTGTGTAAATATTATGCAGAAAATTCGGAGTGTGGAAATTAGGAGAAGGTGTGGAGTTAATAAAAGTATTAGTCAGAGGGCGAAGAGGGTTTTGAGGTGGTTTGGTCATTTAGAGAGAATGGATCACAGTAGAATGACATGGAAAGCATATAAATCTATAGGGGAAGGAAGGCGGGTAGGGGTCGTCCTCGAAAGGGTTGGAGAGAGGGGGTAAAGGAGGTTTTGTGGGTAAGGGCTTGGACTTCCAGCAAGCGTGCGTGAGCGTGTTAGATAGGAGTGAATGGAGACGAATGGTACTTGGACCTGACGATCTGTTGGAGTGTGAGCAGGTAATATTTAGTGAAGGGATTCAGGGAAACCGGTTATTTTTCATATAGTCGGACTTGAGTCCTGGAAATGGGAAGTACAAATGCCTGCACTTTAAAGGAGGGGTTTGGGATATTGGCAGTTTGGAGGGAATATGTTGTGTATCTTTATATGTTTATGCTTCTAGACTGTTGTATTCTGAGCACCTCTGCAAAAACAGTGATAATGTGCGAGTGTGGTGAAAGTGTTGAATGATGATGAAAGTATTTTCTTTTTGGGGATTTTCTTTCTTTTTTTTGGGTCACCCTGCCTCGGTGGGAGACGGCCGACTTGTTGAAAAAAAAAAAAAAAAAAAAAAAAAAACATTGTTTCAGCGTTTTCCTTAGGAAACTAGTGATCTACTGCAGTTAGCCTCAAAAATACTCCATTTTCTCTTACAGTGAGAACATGGGAAGATACTAGTAGTATAATCAAATTGGGACAGAAATGGCGGACGTTTCTGCCGCTGCCTCTGCCACCATATTATGGGCTATTTTATTCATTCTAGAGTATATATCATGTTTCTGCGTTAATTATATTGTTTATTATGTCATATTAGATGAATTGTGATAGATAAATAAGCCATACAGTTGATAAAAGCGTCATATACAAGTATTTTTTTCGTCTCTCCAGTCCAGGAACGAATTAATGGCTTTTCAGTTAATTTATATGAGGAAAATTAATTTGATACACGAGTAAATTGAGTTACGAGCTAGCTCCTGGAATGGATTAAACTCGTAATTCAAGGTTCCACTATACTTTTAATTATATCTAAATTATCAAAATTTGGTAGAAATTGTACTGGTATCTTTATCAGACATTTCACCAACATTTTCACTAGGCATTTTAATTTATCAATGAAGGTTAAATTACCTTCTCATTTCCTTTTTGGCAGGCTATGAAATTTTAAATCAAACTATGGCCTTAAATATTTCTGGCAAGAGAGAAGAATCAGATAATAAAAAATGTAGCTGAGAAATAAATATATATTTTTTCAAGTTATTTTTGTTCTTTACATGAGAAATCAGTGGAATATCTTGTTGGATCACATTGTAGTTAGTATACAGGTTCTTCATTTGCTGTAAACCTTTTAATTTCTCACTGTTGCATAGCGGATACAGTATGGAATAATATATATTTAAATACTTGTCCAGGTTGATCCTGCTGTCACCAGAGTCAGCTGTGTGAGTTCGTATATATATTTTAAATGTTAGTGAATACAGTTTGCACCCATAGAAAGTTTTTTACCCTGTCTGACTTACTAAACAGCATGAGGAATTATATAGTATGCTGTATATTGCTGTCAGGTTTTCTGCAAAATATCTTTTGTTCATAACCAATTTCTAATACTGGTATAAAAATATAAAATGGCTCAAAATCATAACATAGGCTTAAATTGTGTTATTAATATTTGTCATCCTTAAAAATTGAGGCTTATAATTGAAAAAAAACACAGGTGTAGGAAATTGGTGCATTTGTGTGTTTTTTTTTTTTTTTTATAGTTTTTATATCGTAATTGTGTGAATGTGCTGGGTGTTGTGTAGATAAGGAGGAGAGTTTATTGATGAGGAAAAAACTTGTGTAAATATAAAAGTTTAAAGAAAAAGCATAGACTAATTTCATGTGCTTGTAGGAGTGATGAAATTGTGTATATACCCCACTGTAGTGGGATGTACCTCCAGTATAGTGGGTCAGAATTTTGATTTATTGTGATGGATAACTTGAGAATGCCACTTTGGGCCAACTTCAGATTTTCAAGACGATTATATTTTGGTTACGTAAACGTTATAATGCATAAACTGCACGTAGGAGTCCAAAACTTATGATGATGTTTTGGTCCGGCTTGAACCATTAACTAGTTAATAGTCCAAGCCACACCAAAATGTCGTCAAAATCTTCAGTCTTCTGCGTGCGGATTATTTGCATATTGTGCCAGTCATGGCATTGTGCCTATTCTTTTCATGAAGGTTATTGGTATTGGGTAAAGTGTCTTCTAGTTATCCAAGTTTTTTATAATTTTGAGGGGTACAATATGTAGCACTAAAGAAATGGCTGCTCTTCATAAAACTTGCTACAGCTATCACCACATGATGCTATGAGTAGTCTCCCACCAAGGTAGGGGATCTATAATTGAGTTGAACTGCAGCTGTGGCTACCTTCTTTGCCCACTTTTTTTTTCATATTTTGTCATGCGAGTATATATATATAGACTTGCAGTTGCATGGATAGCAGTTCATCTTTAAACACACTATTCATAATTTGTTATTTTCACAGTGAAATGAGATACTCACTTAATGGTTAAGTATATTGGAGATAAGTAGGAGGACTATAGTGTATTTGGGAGAGGTGCAGTAATCTAGAATTTGTGCACAGTTCAGCACAATATAGCTGCTGATGTTAGTAAACTGCATTTTGTTAGTCTTGCTTTATGCCAATGTGAATGTTTTTTGAAGTTGAATACGGTAGTTTTTTAATCATCATAAACAGTGACAGTGCTAAAATTAAACTGCCTACTTTTTTTTGTAACAAAAGCAGATTTAAATTTGTTTGTGTTTACAGTACAGTATTATTAATTTGTAAGAGTTTGTAAAAAGAAAATTATTGTGCATGCATGTTTGCATGCAAACATTTCTGTGTAAGTGTGTATATATAACTGATATTTTCAGTAGCACAGTTCATTGAAAGAGTACTACAGTATATAAAGGCTTATCACCTTTGATAAATATTTTACGACTAAACAGAACTTATTTTTCCACTTTCCATATATTCTTTATTCTGATGCTAGCATATTTTTTATTTTATGCGATAGATACAAGATTCCAGCAAAAATTTCGTACGGCTCAATAGATGCAGAGTTTGGAGAGTCACCATTACAGGGGTAAAACGTCATTTATTCCTTGCTTGTTGTAAGGCTTCATTTCTTTGTAATCTGATAAGGTTAATGTTTTGTTTTCATTTTGAGAATATCCTTAGTTAACTTTTGACTGTTAGTGGAAGATGCAGCTAGCTGACAAGTAGATGAAAAAGATACAAAACAGCATAAAACTTCATTATAACAATGGTTTTCTCAAAGGGAGTTTTATCAAATTATACAGATTTTTTTTTTTTTTCAACATGTCAGCTGTCTCCCACCAAGAGAGGGTGACCCAAAAAAGAAAGAAACACTTTCACCATCATTCACACAAAATCACTGTTTTTGCAGAGGCGCCCAGGTACAGCAGTTTACATGTCACTCCAAACAACCAGTATCCCAAAACCCTCCTTTAAAGTGCAGGCATTGTACTTCCCATCTCTAGGACTCGAGCCCAGCTAACTGGTTTCCCTGAATCCAACAGCTGTAAACCATGCGTGTCGTAAGAGGCGACTAAAATGCCAGGAGCAAGGGGCTAGTAACCCCTTTTCTTGTATATATTACTAAATTTAAAAGGAGAAACTTTCATTTTTTCTTTTGGGCCACCCAACCTTGGTGGAATACAGCCAGTGCGTTGAAAAGAAAAGAAGAAAGAAAAATTTGTAAATTAATCCTTAGATTAACTTTCTGATGAGGTCCTCACTCAACTAGGCAGCCTGTACAGGAGAGCCCTGTTTGTACAGCTCTTAGGTTCCCAACCTCATGCAGTAAGCGAAAATTGCTGTTGGGTGGAAAAGAACTGTTTATTTATTATGTGTCTAAAATGCCTGATAATGTGTTTACACTATCATATATTAAGTGCTCAGTACAGCTAGGCATAAAAAAATTAAAATAAATACATGGCACATACAATATATACCTTAACATATGACGCCGGTTGCCCTTCCCTTATGAAACTGTTGCGCAAGAATGGCAGAAAAGCGGTGAAAGCACCAAACATAACAAACAATGGCTCAATTGAAAGTCAGCAAAAACATGGAACAACAAAAAGGTGCCAGATACAACATAATAAAGCTTACCTTGACCAAAATATTGATATAATGAATGCGAATGCTGTATATTTTTTTCAGTCTCATGTCTGTTGATCTAAATATAAATTATTTTTGTCACTATGTGATTTGTGGGCTATTATCTGTAGATAAAAATCTAATGAATCAGAATATCATTTAATTTTTTTCTTTTTGTTTTGATTGTAATTACAGTACTGTGTAAATACTTTATAATGTAAGTGTGGTGTTTTGTTATATACTTGCCTAACAGAATCATTAACCATTGCTTGTGGTGTTGGGTCTTCTCGTTTGGTAAGGCTCTAATCAAAGAGACTCTGCATGACTGGGTCACCTGTAGTTGTCCATGTTCTTGAGTGAATCATCTAAATCAAGTCAACCAGGACCCTGTAGTGTTTTTTTTTTTATTATAGAGCCCTATCTTAAATTCTTCCAAGACATTAGGAATTGTATAACAAAGTATACTTGAAGAAGTAACACTTGTATAATTTTGTATGGTCTTTGATTCTGAGTTGCTAAAACAAATCCTGTTCTATACTATAATGAAAATGCTGAAATATATTTCTAGATAATTAAGAAGACATAAAAATGATTGTTACTAAGGCTTATTTTATGATGTACATTCTTATATTTGTTTATGAAGTTGCAAATAATCTTTTGTTTGTAATAATGTGCATGTTGCAGTGGTAATGCAGAGTAAAAGTTGTATTGTACTAAAGGCTGTGTTTCTCTTAGTATTTTATTAAAGCTGTATAATTGCTCAATTACTAATATAAAATATGTTTAATCTTTATCAGTCAGAGAGATAAATACAGGTACAATACTCAGCTAATGTAAATATTGTATAAAAGTTTGCTCATGATGCAATTCTCTTTTAGTTTATTTTGGACAGTAATATTGCTTGATAAAGAAAAGTGGTCTGCAAGAATACTTTGGAAATAAAATTAGTTGTTTATTAATTTTGGGTCACTGAATATGTCAGTGATGCTTAATATTGCAAATTGGCTCCATAAAGATATGGAGTGAGATATATGAGTGAGTGGAAACAAGTGGTTTTTATGATTTGATGTGCTGTTGGAGTGTGAGCAAGGTAACATTTATGAAGGGATTTAGGGAAGCCAATTAGCTAGACTTGAGTCCTGGAGGTTGGGAAGTATGGTACCTACACTCTGAAGGAGGGGTGGGAATGTTTGCAGTTTGGAAAGTCATCTGAATTGTTATGTCAGCATGCATCTGGGAAGACAGTGTTTGAATGAGTGAGTGTGAAAGTAGCTTTCTTTGCTAGGTCACCCCTACCTTGGTGGAAGACCTGGAGTATATACCTGGAGGGGGTTTTGGGGGTCAATGCCATTGAAAAAAAAAATGAACTTGGACTGGTTGCTGTTGTCTTTGACCTGGGAAGGGAGGAACATAATTGTACAGGGAAAAAGTCTTGATTCAAACCCACGATGCATAATTAAACTATATATACAGTTTCCTATAGCCATGATACATGATTGTTTTAAATATATATATAATTTTCTCTAGCCAATTGGTTGTTTTTGGGGTTATATTCATTTTCAGGATCCCAAAAATCATAGGTGAAATATCTTTTTTTTATCCACAGCACAAAATTGGTAGACAAGTGTAATATCATAATTAAAAAATAAGCAGGGAAGATAAAAAATGTAGACAAGCATTTCAAGCCTAAAACCAAACAGCAGGCCAGATCATTAGCAAGACAGGCAATGGAAGATTTGTACGACCCTAGTTTTGATTTGATTTGATTTTAATAATGGAAGATTTATGAGGAAGTGATAGAGCACGGGCAGCTCTTTGTTGACTTTTGAGACATACTATATAAACTGGTAGGCTAACTGTGAAATGCAGTACAATGTAATTGGCTTTGCTGCCTACATCTGATGATGTGCTGCAAGCACTCATCAACCTAATTAACCAAACAGTCATCCTGGAGGCCTCATCGAAGTCCAAGCTATAAGGGGTGGATGATTTCTCAAACCATCATTGGGTAGACCAAGAGATAGTGCATAACACTAAGAGCAATGTATGTATTTGTATACTTAGGAACTAACAAAATCTTCTAAGGTGACTATCAGGTTCAGGCAGTTCAAACAAGGATAAGTCTTTCAACCTGACATTAGAAATGATAGAACATAAGAAAGGAGGAACACTGCAGCAGGCCTGTTGGCCCATACTAGGCAGGTCTTTTACAATCCATCCCACTAACAAAACAAGGAAACTTGTGCAAATACATAACAGAGTGAAAAGAAGTTATTCAGAATAATACTCATGTTAACCATACAAATCAATGTATCATAACACTGTTTCTCCACAAATTTTCCAGGCTCTCCGTTGGTCATATAACACATGTCTTACCCTTCAGAGGTGGTGCCTAGGGGTAAAGGTTTGTTTGGAAAGAGCTCTTGATCCAAGGAATTGGAGCTATCCCTTCTCTTTTGTGAATCAAACCAGATTACCTGATATAAAGGCCCTGCATACCCCCTATGGGTTTATCAATTCCCTTTGATTCTAAAAAGTCTTGAAAGCTAATTTTGTCAAACAGTTGAGGGAACATCAGCTTTTGTTTTTGATGTACATGGGAAATGCATGTCTCCATGTGCTTTGTGTGCAAAGTGATGCAGTATAATGTGCTCCCTGGCAAATCGTTTAATGTTGCTTATGCCTAATCCCTGTACGTGTACTGTATACATCTTTGTACTTCTACTGATTTATGAATATGTTAATAAAGTAAATGGAAATTTTGATGAGTAATCTGTATAAAAAGTGGAAAGTGATTGACTAAAGTAGTAAAGGACAAGAAGAATATTAATCTAAGTATATTTGACTGTGCTAAGAGGATTTGTGCAATTTACTTCAATGTATTTGTAACCTCTTAGATATGTAACTTTTAAAAAATCTAGTTTTTTGTGTATCTTGTTTAAAGAATATGTATCCAAGAGAGATTTGTTATATAATGTTATCACAACTCTTTCAGGGAGTCTTCTCCATTTAATGTCAGCAACTACCAAGCCACGTCACCTACGTCTGCATCGCCTTCCTTACTGGCTAGTGGATCGCCAGGCTCTGTAATTACCCCAGAAGAGTATATTGGAATGATTGCTGATGTCCTCAATTTAGGCAAGAATGTGTGTCTGTGCCGGCATTTCCACCAGATGGATAAAGCTGCTATTTTGAGGTATGTTATTGCATTAATGGTAAAACTAAAGTTGTCTTGTTACCCTAGAAGCATTACTTGTTTCATCAATTAGTATCATGTTTTGGGGGTAGTGAGGGGCTACATAAAAGTACACATATATTGTGTAACTAGAGTGCAAGAGGGAAAGAGTTCAATTGTACAACTTTTGATTGACTGACAAGAAATACTGCATAAAGTTGGTTTCTACAGTGTTATTATCTAACACCTTCCACTGTTTTACTACTGTGGTGGAATCATCTCTCCTTTCAATGCACTGGCCGTATCCTACTGAAGCAGGGTGGCCCAAAAAGAGAAACGAGAGTACTACAGTGGAATGTCTCCTATAATTTCTGTGACTGCTGGGTGTTCGAGTTCCAACTGCATCTCCTTATTCTAGCTCCTTCCCTGGTCATGGGTGTGTGTGTCTAAATATTTTATGTTGTGGGTTATTTTTTTATACTGTGATTATGTTGCATTTTGTTCTTGGTTCCTCTACAGAGATGAGCACTAAAAAGATGCAAACCTTTGAATTGCTGTAGAAAGATGCAAACCTTTGAACTGATGTAGAAAGATGCAAACCTTTGAATTGCTGTAGAAAGATGTAAACCTTTGAACTTTATAAACTTTCATTATGTTTGATTAGCTGAGGACTGCAAGCTGACACTATATTCTCCAGGATGAGTTGCACAAGTGGAGAAAAATTTCGAAAATTTTACTTAGGTTTACAAAAGCCATCCTTACATTTGCCAACCAAGCATGTACTGCTGCTGATATTCTTGTTGTGTATTTTAGGAAACAGGTTTGAAGTGTTATGATTATTTTCTTTTGTATGGGTGTGCCTCTGCAATATGGGGACTATGAGAGCATGTATTTAATTAGACGTATTCATTCTCTTCTCAAATCACAGAACAGGTGGGGCTCAAACCCTTGGTAAGCAAGCCCTAAAACACTGGCCTGCAAGTTTCAGGACTTGCTTGCCATAGGTTCAAACCCCATCTATTCCATGGTTTGTTTACAAGAGCGTTATTTCGATTTCTGGAGTCAATCTCTCATCTTTGGACTACAAAGATTTTAAAATTTTGATAACTGATTCATGATATTTAGGTTTATTATGTTTTACTTAAAGTGCATTTACTCTGCAGAAAGGACAACCGACAAAAGTTCTACATCGACGTTTGGCCAGTAGATTTTTTTAACCCTGACGAGTCGAATATATTTGGCACTACTTCACTCTTCTTGATGCAGCTGGCAACAATTTTAAATATGGTAAGTAAGGAGAGGTTTTTGCTATTTAATATTTAATGGGACATATAAACTGTCATATCTGTGCACCTCTGGCAAGACAGTGTTAGTGTGAATGATGGTGAAAGTGTTTCTTTTTTGGATTACCCTGCCTTGGTGGGAGACAGCCAGTGTGTTTATTTCTTCTTTTTGAGTCACCCTACCTAGGTGGGAGATGGCTGGGTTGTTAAAAAAAGAATGTATTAATTATTGCCACTTTTGTTATAATAGTACTCATTTTTTATAAGTTATTGTAGTGTTTTAACTCCCATGAATTGTGTATTTTTAAATTTTAAGGTTAAATTGTCATTACCTTCACCCTTCCATACAATTAAAGTAAGTATGGATTAAAATACACACTTTAATGCCAAGTCCATTATATTTCTAAATTTTAACCGCTTAATAACTTACCTACATCATAAAATTATTGGCAATAAGCAGCCACCACCCATAAAGGTACTGCTGTCTAGTCATGTAATCATGAAGCATTAGCCTGTTCAACATTTTGCACTGGCTGGATTGCTGGGGTTTTCTTTATGTATAACTGTACTTTAGACTCATTAGAGTCACCCTTGGATATTTTACACAGGGTAACCTGTTAGCCAGACTTCAAGTCCTGGAGGTAAGACTTGAAGTCTGACAAATATCCCCACCTCTCCTTCAGTGCCTGCACACTGAAGGAGGGGTTGGGATATTTGCAGTTTTGAGAGGCATCTAAACTCTAGTATATGCTTGCCTCTGGCAAGACAATGATAGAGTGAATGATAATGAAAGTGATTCTTCTTTTCTGGGTCACCCTACCTCGGTGGGAGATGGCCAGTTTGTTAAAATAAAATTCCACTCGACAAAGATGTCTAATTTCAGGTATCATCATGGCGGAAAAGAACAATGTTAAGGGTGTTTCTGTGTGTGTCATCTAGAGATGCTGATCCAGAAGCCCAGAAGAAGCAGGTTAAACACATGTTACATGAACTTCGCATTAATGCAACCATTGTCCCTGTACCCTGGGACCATGTTGTTACTAACATTGCTCAGGTATGTAGTACAGTAACTGTTCATATGCAATTACACTCTGAATTATGTGTGGAGATGTTGTATTTGGGTTACTGTACCCTGTTGAGAAATGACTAATGTGGTTAAAAAATTATAAATTATTTATCAGTTGTTAGTTTTTCTTGATACCACTTAGGCATTTATGAAAAATATGAGAATGAATGTACCAGAGTAAAGTGGTACCTGCACTGTTACATGGGTTTGAAGCATGGGCTTTAAATCAAGGCTTATTGTAATAGTATGTACCTGGTGGTGAGAGATGTGTAAGAGTTTTGATTTTGAGTGGTGATGGACAGGAGTGGTGTTCTTTTGGAGTTCTTACCAATCCCTTTTTTAAGTGAAACAAAGCTGAAGGGGGTGGGAGAGTTTCAGTGGGGAGAAATAAATGGGATTAGGTCAGGGATTTCAAATAGAGTTAGAGCTAATGAAGGAGCAGCAATAATGTTGAAGGATAAGTTATGGCAGGAAATGAAGGAATATAAATGTATAAATTCAAGAAGTAAAATAAGGGTTGGATGTGAAAAGTGGGTTATAGTAAGTGTTTATGCACCTGGAGATGAGAGAAGTGTAGGGGAGAGAGAGATTTTGGGAAATGTTGAGTGAGTGCATGGGGAGTTTTGAACCTAGTGAGAGAGTACTTGTGGTTGGGGATCTTAGTGCTAAAGTGGGTAAAAATGTGGAGGGAGTAGTAGGTAAATTTGGGGTGCCAGGGGTAAATGAAAATGGGGAGCCTTTAATTGAGCTATGTGTAGAAAGAGGTTTGGTAATAAGTAATACATATTTTATGAAAAAGAGGATAAATAAGTATACAAGGTATGATAAAGCACATAATGAAAGGAGTTTGTTAGATTATGTATTGGTGGATGAAAGGTTGATGGGTAGGCTTCATGATGTATATGTTTATAGAGGGGCAATTGATATATGGATTATTATTTAGTCGAAGCTACAGTTAGAGTAAGAGGTAGATGGGACAAGAGGAAAATGGCAACAGCAAGTAAGAGAAAGGTGAAAGTGTATAAACTAAGGGAGGAGGAAGTTAGGGTGAGATATAAGCCACTATTGGCAGAAAGGTGGGCTAGTGCAAATATGAGTAGTGGGGGGAGGGGGGTGGAAGTGGGTTGGAATAGTTTTGAAAAATGTCAGTATTAGAATGTGGGATAGAAGTTTGTGGTTATAGGAGGGTGGGTGCAGGAGGAAAGAGGAGTGATTGATGGAATGATGAAGTAAAGGGTGTGATAAAAGAGAAAAAGATAGCTTATGAGAGGTTTTTACAAAGCAGAAGTGTTATAAGAAGAGCAGAGTATATGGAGAGTAAAAGAAAGGTAAGAGAGTGGTGAGAGAGTGCAAAAAGGAGAGCAGATGATTGAGTTGGGGAGGCACTGTCAAGAAATTTTGCAGAAAATAAGAAAAAATTTTGGAGTGAGATAAACAAGTTAAGAAAACCTTGGGAACGAATATATTTGTCATTTAAAACAGAGTAGTGGAGTTAGTAGGTAGGGAGCTGGAGGTATTGGGTAGATGGTGAGAATATTTTGAGGAACTTTTAAATGTTGATGAAGAAAGGGAGGCAGTAATTTCATGCACTGGCCAGGGAGGTATAACATCCTTTAGGAGTGAAGAAGAGCAGGGTGCGAGTGTGGGGGAGATGTGTGAGGCATTACGTAGAATGAAAGGGGGTAAAGCAGCTAGAACTGAAGGGATCATGACAGAAATGTTAAAAGCAGGGGGGGGGGGATATAGTGTTGGAGTGGTTGGTATTTTTGTTTAATAAATGTATGAAAGAGGGGAAGGTACCTAGGGATTGGCGGAGAGCATGTATAGTCCCTTTATATAAAGGGAAGGGGGACAAAAGAGATTGTAAAAATTATAGAGGAATAAGCTTACTGAGTATACCAGGAAAAGTGTACGGTAGGGTTATAATTGAAAGAATTAGAGGAAAGACAGAATGTAGGATTGCGGATGAGCAAGGAGGTTTCAGAGTGGGTAGGGGATGTGTAGATCAAGTGTTTACATTGAAGCATATATGTGAACAGTATTTAGATAAATGTAGGGAAGTTTTTATTGCATTTATGGATTTAGAAAAGGCATATGATAGAGTGGATGGGGAGCAATGTGGCAGATGTTGTAAGTGTATGGAGTAGGTGGTAAGTTACTAAATGCTGTAAAGAGTTTTTATGAGGATAGTGAGGCTCAGGTTAGGGTGTGTAGAAGAGAGGGAGACTACTTCCCAGTAAAAGTAGGTCTTAGACAGGGATGTGTAATGTCACCATGGTTGTTTAATATATTTATAGATCGGGTTGTAAAAGAAGTAAATGCTAGGGTGTTTGGGAGAGGGGTGGGATTAAATTATGGGGAATCAAATACAAAATGGAAATTGACACAGTTGCTTTTTGCTGATGATACTGTGCTTATGGGAGATTCTAAAGAAAAATTGCAAAGGTTAGTGGATGAGTTTGGGAGTGTGTGTAAAGGTAGAAAGTTGAAAGTGAATATAGAAAAGAGTAAGGTGATCAGGGTATCAAATGATTTAGATAAAGAAAAATTGGATATCAAATTGGGGAGGAGGAGTATGGAAGAAGTGAATGTTTTCAGATACAGTGGTCCCTCAATTATAGTCCTTAATCCGTTCCTGGAAGTGGGACTATTATCGAAATAGACGATTTTCAAATCAATTTTCCCCATAAGAAATAATGTAAATCCAATTAATTCGTTCCAGACACCCAGAAGTATCAACAACAATTTTTTTTTTTTACCTAAAAGATAGATTTACATGCACAAAAGAATGAACATTCAACATGACAGTTACCTTTATTGAAGGCTGTTGTTGATGAATGGAAGACAGGGAGGAGGAGAGAGGGAAGAGAGGTTATTGTTTGGAAGGGGAATCCCCCTCCATAAGGACTCTAGGTCACTTCAGGGGTCACTTCCCTAGCATAAATATAGATTTACATGCAGAAAAAAAATGCCAAATAAATGTAAAGCACTAATAAAATGTATAAATGAACATTGGTAATAGGGGTAGTTGATGAGTGGAACGGTCTGCCTAGTAGGGTGATCGAAGCTAAAACATTGAGTTGTTTCAAATTTAGGTTGGATAAATACACGAGTGAAAGGGGTTGGATTTGAGTCAGACTTGCACCTGAGCTTATTGCTTGGGTAGCATTTGTTCTGTTAGTGGGTTGGATTTGTGAAGGACCGGCCTAGTATGGGCCAGCAGGCCTACTGCAGTGTTCCTCCTTTCTTATGTTCTTATTGGAGACTTGTTTGTGTGAGGGAGGGATGGCAAATTTATTGTTGGAGAATATGACACTAATATCAACTCTACAGCTCATTTATCTATCACAATTCAACTAATATGACATAATAAACAATATTAATAACATAGAAACATGGAATATACTCTAGAATGAATAAAATAAGTCATTACGTATGTCACAAGAGGTGTTGTGTTGTGTTGTTGTTGGGTATATAAGGGCCACTGAGAGTAAGCTCTTAATAATGGTGGTGAAGCAGCAGCTGAGGCGGTGGTGTTTTCTGTAGCCCTATATAACTCCAACAACATTGGAGGAGTTGGTAGAATCGCTGAATCACTAAAGAAGGAGCCCTCTACCACCATCACTATGACCTTCTACCACTATTACAACTGTTACCACCATCACTGCTACCTTCTATCACCATCACTACCACCATCAACCACTATCACAACTGCTTCCACTCTACCACCAGCACCTTTGTATTTTTCTACAAACTTTTTCATAAATTATATGTGTTTCTCACATTCTTTACCAAAGGGCTGGCACTAGAAGCTTTCTTTAGAGCCATGGTAGCTTACTTAGCACTTGCAAGCACTAAAATCAATGGAATATTATGAAATATTTCATAGGAGCATATGAGGGGACCGTTGCTCACTGGTAAACAATGGCACACTGGCTGGGAAGGCAGGCCCAGGCAGGTCAGAGCGTGAGTACCCATCCTGCACGAAGGACAATTAGCGAGTTAACGGACCATTTGCGAGCCAATGTTTAGACAAAATAACGGGACTATTTCCGAAATGGACGACTTTCAGGCCGGACGATTATTGAGGGACCACTGTACTTGGGAGTTGATGTGTCGGCAGATGGATTTATGAAGGATGAGGTTAATCATAGAATTGATGAGGGTAAAAAGGTGAGTGGTGTGTTGAGGTATATGTGGAGGCAAAAAACGTTATCTATGGAGGCAAAGAAGGGAATGTATAAAAGTATAGTAGCACCAACACTCTTATATGGGTGTGAAGCTTGGGTTGTGAATGCACAGCGAGGAGGCAGTTGGAGGCAGTGGAGATGTCCTATCTAAGAGCAATGTGTGGTGTAAATATTATGCAGAAAATTCGGAGTGTGGAAATTAGGAGAAGGTGTGGAGTTAATAAAGGTATTAGTCAGAGGGCTGAAGAGGGGTTGTTGAGGTGGTTTGGTCATTTAGAGAGAATGGATCAAAGTAGAATGACATCGAGAGCATTTAAATCTGTAGGGGAAGGAAGGCGGTGTAGGGGTCATCCTCGAAAAGTTTGGGAGGGTGGGGTAAGGGAGGTTTTGTGGGCAAGGGGCTTGGACTTCCAGCAGGCGTGCATGAGCGTGTTTGATAGGAGTGAATGGAGACGAATGGTATTTGGGACCTGACGAACTGTTGGAGTGTGAGCAGGGCAATATTTAGTGAAGGGATTCAGGGAAACCGGTTATTTTTATATAGCCGGACTTGAGTCCTGGAAATGGGAAGTACAGTGCCTGCACTCTAAAGGAGGGGTTTTGGGATATTAGCAGTTTGGAGGGATATGTTGTGTATCTTTATACATATATATGCTTCTAAACTGTTGTGTTCTGAGCACCTCTGCAAAAACATGATTATGTGTGAGTGAGGTGAAAGTGTTGAATGATGATGAAAGTATTTTCTTTTTGGGGATTTTCTTTCTTTTTGGGTCACCCTGCCTCAGTGATAGATGGGCAACTTGTTAAAAAAAAAAAGTATGAAAGAGGGGAAGGTAAATAGGGATTGGCAGAGAGCATGTATAGTTCCTTTATATAATGGGAAGGGGGACAAAAGAGATTGTAAAAATTATAGGGGAAAAGTTTACTAATTTCTAGGTAGTAGGTTGGTAGACAGCAACTGCCCAGGGAGGTACTACTGTCTGCCAAGTGAGTGTAAAACAGAAACCTGTAATTGTTTTACACGATGGTAGGATTGCTGGTGTCTTTTTTTCTGTCTCATAAATATGCAAGATTTCAGGTACATCTTGCTACTTCTTCTTACACTTAGGTCACACTACACATTCATGTACAAGCATATATATACATACTCCTCTGGGTTTTCTTCTATTTTCTTTCTTGTTCTTGTTTATTTCCTCTTATCTCCATGGGGAAGTGGAACAGAATTCTTCCTCCGTAAGCCATGCGTGTCGTAAGATGCGACTAAAATGCCAGGAGCAAGGGGCTAGTAACCCCTTCTCGTGTCTATATTACTAAATTTGAAAGGAGAAACTTCGTTTTTCCTTTTGGGCCACCCCACCTTGGTGGAATACGGCTGGTACGTTGAAAGAAGAAGTTTACTAAGTATACCAGGAAAAGTGTATGGTAGGGTTATTATTGAGAGAATTAGAGGTAAGACAGAGAGTAGGATTGCAGATGAGCAAGGAGGCTTTAGAGTGGGTAGGGGATGTGTAAATCAAGTGTTTACATTGAAGCATATATGTGAACAGTATTTAGATAAAGGTAGGGAAGTTTTCATTGCATTTATGGGAGATTATGGGAGATTCTAAAGAAAAGTTGCAAAGGTTAGTGGACGAGTTTGGGAGGGTGTGTAAAGGTAGAAAGTTGCAAGTGAACATAGATAAGAGTAAGGTGATGAGGGTATCAAACGATTTAGGTAAAGAAAAACTGGATATGACATTGGAGAGAGGGAGTATGGAAGAAGTGAATGTTTTCAGATATTTGGGAGTTGACATGTCAGCAGATGGATTTATGAAGGATGAGGTTAACCATAGAATTGATGAAGGAAAAAAGGTGAGTGGTGCATTGAGGTATATGTGGAGACAAAAAAACATCATCTATGGAGGCAAAGAAGGGAATGTATGAATGTATAGTGGTACCATCACTTATATGGGTGTGAAGCTTGGGTTGTCATTGCTGCAGCGAGGAGGCAGTTGGAGGCAGTGGAGATGCCCTGTCTAAGGGCAGTGAGTGGTGTAAATATTATGCAGAGAATTTGGAGTGTGGAAATTAGGAGAAGGTGTGGAGTTAATAAAAGTATTAGTAAGAGGGCTGAAGAGGGGTTGTTGAGGTGGTTTGGTCATTTAGAGAGAATGGATCAAAGTAGAATGACATGGAGAGTGTCTAAATCTATTAGGGGAAGGAAAGCAGGGTAGGGGCTGTCCGAGAAAAGGTTGGAGGGAGGAGGTAAAGGAGGTTTTGTGGGCGAGGGGCTTGGACTTCCAGCAAGCGTGCATGAGCGTGTTAGATAGGAGTGAATGGAGACAAATGGTTTCTGGGACCTGACGAGCTGTTGGAGTGTGAGCAGGGTAATATTTAGTGAAGGGATTCAGGGAAACCGGTTATCTTTATGTAGATGGACTTGAGGACCGGAAATAGGAAGTACAATGCCTGCACTTTAAATGAGGGGTTTGGGATATTGGCAGATTGGAGGGATTTTTTTTTTTTTAACAAGTCGGCCATCTCCCACTGAGGCAGGGTGACCCAAAAAGAAAGAAAATCCCCAAAAAGAAAATACTTTTCATCATTCAACACTTTCACCTCACTCACACATAATCACTGTTTTTGCAGAGGTGCTCAGAGCACAACAGTTTAGAAGCATATACGTATAAAGATACACAACATATCCCTCCAAACTGCAAATATCCCGAACCCCTCCTCTAGAGTGCAGGCATTGTACTTCCCATTTCCAGGACTCAAGTCTGGCTATGCAAAAATAACCGGTTTTCCTGAATCCCTTCACTAAATATTACCCTGCTCACACTCCAACAGCTCGTCAGGTCCCAAATACCATTCATCTCCATTCACTCCTATCTAACACGCTCATGCACACCTGTTATGTATCTTTATATATTCTTCTAAACTGTTGTATCTGGGTGCCTCTGCAAAAACTAATTATGTATGAGTGAGGTGAAAGTGTTGAATGATGATGAAAGTATTTTTTTTGGGGGGGATTTCCTTTCTCTTTGGGTCACCCTGCCTCAGTGGAGACAGCCAACTTGTTGAAAAAAAAAATTAAGCACTTTTATATTTTTTTTTTTCAACAAGTCGGCCGTCTCCCACCGAGGCAGGGTGACCCAAAAAAGAAAGAAAATCCCCAAAAAGAAAATGCTTTCATCATCATTCAACACTTTCACCACACTCGCACATTATCACTGTTTTTGCAGAGGTGCTCAGAATACAACAGCTTAGAAGCATATACGTATAAAGATACACAACATATCCCTCCAAACTGCCAATATCCCAAACCCCTCCTTTAAAGTGCAGGCATTGTACTTCCCATTTCCAGGACTCAAGTCCGACTATATGAAAATAACCGTTTCCCTGAATCCCTTCACTAAATATTACCCTGCTCACACTCCAACAGATTGTCAGGTCCCAAGTATCATTCGTCTCCATTCACTCCTATCTAACACGCTCACGCACGCTTGCTGGAAGTCCAAGCCCCTCGACCCACAAAACCTCCTTTACCCCCTCTCTCCAACCCTTTCGAGGACGACCCCTACCCCTCCTTCCTTCCCTATAGATTTATATGCTTTCCATGTCATTCTACTTTGATCCATTCTCTCTAAATGACCAAACCACCTCAACAACCCCTCTTCTGCCCTCTGACTAATGCTTTTATTAACTCCACACCTTCTCCTAATTTCCACACTCCGAATTTTCTGCATAATATTTACACCACACATTGCCCTTAGACAGGACATCTCCACTGCCTCCAACCGTCTCCTCGCTGCTGCATTTACCACCCAAGCTTCACATCCATATAAGAGTGTTGGTACCACTATACTTTCATACATTCCCTTCTTTGCCTCCATAGATAGCGTTTTTTGACTCCACATATACCTCAACGCACCACTCACCTTTTTCCCTCATCAATTCTATGATTAACCTCATCCTTCATAAATCCATCCGCCGACACGTCAACTCCCAAGTATCTGAAAACATTCACTTCTTCCATACTCCTCCTCCCCAATTTGTACCTATATTTCTATATAACTGTGTAAAGCAAAAACTACTTAAACAAAAAAAATGAAACCAGTTAGAGAGATCTGTATATTTCATTCTCAGAGACCCTCGGACACTGACTAAGGCTGAAACTCGGATCTCTCTCTCTGATTTGCTTTTCTGTCCCGGTGATTTCTTTCTTCTCATCAGTCCATCCTTATGACACTTTATTTATAGCTTAACTGTGTATTTATAGCTTAACTGTGTTTGTTTATATACAGGGCCAGAGTGATTCCCAATCTGAAGCAGAGGCAGATACAGACTATCTATCACATCTTAATAATGGTTACATCAATGGTGTCAATGGACTTGTATCCGGACAGAGTGTGGACACTGCAGTGACCTTCCTATATTTACCTCGTCCCCCACCGACTCCAGCTCATTATGCTCGTTACCTTGAACTACTTACCCAGATTACCAATGGCTTGAGACCCACTGTCATGGTACATGGAATATCTGCTGTCACCACCACTAACTTATAGCTCCGTCCAAGTTGAACAAACAAAGGAATTGAGGCATGCGAAAAGAAGCACAATACGCATTTTTATATATATGTGATAATGAGGTATATACCCTGGGCACGCAAATCTGGCCGTGTTAGTAGCTGACTTATACCAAATATTTTTTCTAATTTATTTCAGTACATATTCTATATTTTTCTCACCAAAGGTTTTATCCAGTAAATATGACAGGCAATCAAATACCATGTAGTCATGGAATGTGTTGTCCCTCTGAATGATTTTAATCTGAAGTTTCATCATCATTTAATGACCCGAGTTGAATGCTTGAATATTTACTCATGCCAGGATGAAGTAATTTTAAATGGTTATAATTGTAGATAATGAATGAGTTTGGTGGGTTTAATAGCTAGTATTTTAAATTTTGATTTTTAGTAAAATATATGTTGCGAGCATTACATATAATTTATGTGCATTGATATATTGCACATTACCACGTAGGTACATTTATTAATGTCTTATTTAAATACTGTACATCGGAATTAATTTTCACATTAAAAATAAGACAGTGTTAAAAGGCAGACAATGTATGTTTTTGGTTTTCTATATTCCATTCAAAAATGTTACAAAGAGTGTATCAGTGTATTTTCTGAAGGTTCAAAATGTGATGTGTTAATTTATAATGAAAATAATGATGTCTTAATTTATAATGATAACACTAAAGGTCTTATTTCACAATAATAAAGACAAGTCATATTTTATGTGTGTGTTCAAGTTTTATTTATATTTTAATATAGAATAAGAAATTTTGACATAAATGTTGAAAGAAAAATTACAAGGTGAGAAGTTAGTAGATCTAGACTTAGTTCGGTGTTCCTTGTGAACTGCGAGGTATGCCTTGAAGTAGTATAAGTGGAATTTCTACTATCTGCCACTTAACTAAATCACAAAATTGGGTATACTAATTGATTTGCAGGGTTACTTCTTCACTTCTTTTGGCGGCCAGAGTGAAGAAATGCTACCCACTTCTTAGAGTTTCTTTCACTCATACTCTTGACTAGTTAGCAGAAGCTGAGTCCCTTATGGAGACATGCTAATTGCAGTTTTGACCAACTCATCATTGTGCACTTGCTGTTATTCTAGATGTTTGACATGCAGTGGAGAGTTCTAATAGGCCTCATTTGTAGAGGGCAAATGCCTCTAGTGCCATCTAATCAGCATTCGTACTTGCTATCTTTGGCTATAGATGACAGTGCTAATGACTAACACCTATTTCTTATCCTTCCTCCCCATCTATATCAGCTTCTCTCCTCCCTCATTTCTCAGCCTGCTTCCTTCCTCTCTTTTCTCATCCTTTCTTTCCTCTTCTCCCTCATCTTTCTTGTCTTTTCTCTGGTTAAAGAACGGCTCTTAATGGGAGAGTAAGTAATTTTTATTAACTTCAGAAGGAGATCAAACTTCTAATGAGTGGAACATAGTTGCAGATATCAGAAACACTGCAGGAACATGTGTAAACATCTACAAGAAGAAAACAGACCATTTGCTATTCCCAGTGCCCTGTAAACCAGGCTGTGACAGGTATGTGGGCCAGTGGGCTGCCAGCAGCAACAGCCTGATTGACCAGATAAGACTGGTCTAGGGCAGGTCTGAGAGAATAGGAAAACTCAAAACCTATCAAAAGTATACCAAAAGATGAGAGCAAGCATATCATTATTCAATAGGTGCAGTGCTACTTTCTCTCTTCCTACTACAGTAGAGTTGCTGATTGAGAGTATGTATATTATTGTTATGGGTGGAGTATTGCTCTCCCTTTACCTGCTATCACACCATCCTCTTTCAGTATACAGCAATAAGTAAAACATTTTCACCACCACCGTTACACAAGATAATGGAATGGTTTTGAATTTCTCTTTTAACATTGTTAATATAAAGAGCATTTCTTATTTGAATTCATTATGGTCAGTAATTACATGCAACAAATAAACTATCCATTAAAATTATGTCTTGTAATATATGACCGAGAACACAAACATGTGGATAGTAGAGGTTCCGCTAGTCTAGCTCTCCTGCAGATGCAGGTATCTTTAATGGTTGTGTAGCTTCCTAAGATAAATTGCTAAGTAAGTTTTTTAATATACTTGTGACTCGTTTCACTTGCCCCTGATTAACGTTATATTTATGTAAAATTTATATGTGCTTTATCTGATAGTAGTAAGAGAATTTAATTACTTTTAAAATTATCTTCAAAATGGACCACTTATTACAGTTAAATTGCAATGTAGTATTATATTAATTAAGTGTATCATAAATATGATTTGGTATTACATGTATTACTAAGTTAATGAATATTAATTTTTTCAATAGTTTTCTAATTTTGAATTTAGCAAAGAAGTTAAAAAAAATTCTTTTTTTTTCATTTGGCTCTCTTACTGAGGTGATAATAAAAACCCTTGTAAAACTGCTTGTGGAAAAAGACACTTATGTACAGTTCAGGACATTTATTACAGGAAACTGTACATGAGTGTCTTTTTTCACATCTTGTCATATCGCCATACCATTTTTCAGTTTTATACTTCTGACTACAGCATGTCCCTGAATAACATTGTTTTGTTATAACATTGATAAGAAAAAAATTGAATTTAATACAATGAATACAAATTACAGTGGACCCTCAACCAGCGATATTAATCCGTTCCTGAGAGCTCATCGTTAATCGAAATAATCGTTAGTCAAGTTAATTTTCCCCATAAGAAATAATGGAAATCAAATTAATCCGTGCAAGACACCCCAAAGTATTGAAAAAAAAATTTTTTACCACATGAAATATTAATTTTAATACACACAAACTGAAGAAGACATGCACAGTTACATGACACTTACCTTTATTGAAGATCTGGTGATGATTGATGGGATGGGAGGAGGGGAGAGTGTTGATCTTCTTAGTGTTTAGAATTGGAATCCCCTTCCATTAGGACTTGAGGTGGCAAGTCCTTTTTCGGGGTTACTTCCCTTCTTCTTTTAATGCCACTAGGACCAGCTTGAGAGTCACTGGACCTCTGTCGCACAACATATCTGTCCATAGAGGCCTGTACCTCCCGTTCCTTTATGACATTCCTAAAGTGTTTCACAACATTGTCAGTGTCACAATTAAACACTTGTTCAGGTTTCAATTCTTCACTGTCTATGTACTCCTTGAATTCCTGCACATATTTTTCAGCTGCTTTTTGGTCCAAACTGGCAGCCTCACCATGCCTTATCACACTATGTATGCCACTACGATTCTTAAATCTCTCAAACCAACCTTTGCTGGCCTTAAACTCACATCACCACTAGTTGCTGGCATTTTTCTAATTAAATCCTCATGCAACTTCCTAGCCTTTTCACATAAGATCTCTTGAGAGATGCTATTTCCTGCTATCTGTTTTTCGTTTATCCACACCAACAACAGTTCCTCAACATCTTCTATCACTTGCGATCTCAGTTTCGAAAACATAGTTGCACCTTTGGCAAGAACAGCTTCCTTGATTGCCGTTTTCTTGGCCACAATAGTAGCGATGGTTGATTGGGGTTTTGTGTACAACCTGGCCAGCTCAGACACACGCACTCCACTTTCATACTTAGCAATGATCTCTTTCTTCATATCCATAGTAATTCTCACCCTTTTTGCTGTAGGGTTGGCACTAGAAGCTTTCTTGGGGCCCATGGTGACTTATTTTGCAGGTGCAATCACTAAAAAGGCTGTGATAATATGAAATGTTCCGATTGTATGCTTGGAAGCGACCGCGGTGGCTGGCTGGCATGTAAACACTGGCCAGAAGTGGACACATCTAAGACGGAACGAATAGTGTTGGTCGAGTTTTTTAGCGCTAGTCGAGGCAAAATTTTTGTGTTAAAATGTATCGCTGGTCGGATTTATCGTTAATCGATGCCATCGACTGGTCGAGGGTCCACTGTATTGTAAAATAAAAATTCGTAAAGTATACAATAATCACACAAGTGCATGGCAGCAAACATCACAGCATGAAAGCACTCAGCGAGGCCACCATATTTGTTATTATTTGTTTTTGAACTGCCTGGTGGTAGGAGGAGCTCCTTACAATTTTTGCTTTGCAACCATTTATTCCTTGATTTTACCCTGTTACAATAAGTGCTAAAGGTGCATTGTGCACCCCTGATGTTTGTGGCCACAAAAAAACAGATAAAAGGTGTGATATTAAAAACAAAACTTGAGGTTTTTATATCAATTAGCCTATGATAAGATTGGTTTTGCCATACATCATTTTGCTTAAATTTAGTCAGTTTCCAAGAACCTATCAACAATGTTGAGGACTGACTGTAATCTCTTATGGTGACTGTCTTCCGTTTCTGGTGATCCCTCATCAAATGTTTTGGGTAATCCGCTATCCAATAGTGTGTTCTTTCTTATATCCCATTCTACTTTCCTAATTTGTAAATTAGTTGCCCTTTAGGCATCATATCAAGGGTTATCTGTCAGTCAAAGTATGTGGACTCCACGTTTCCTTCCCTGTCTTGCATCATTCTATTAAGAAACTATATTAAGTTGGTGAAGCATGATTTTCCTTTCCCAAACTTGGGCTGTTGGTCTATATCCTTCTCAAGATCTATTTCAGCACTTAAGACTGTGTTAATAAGCTTACCTTTGTCTCGTCTCCTTGCCAGACTTACTTGTGGTGCAGCCATTCAAGAGAGGCTGTTGGAAAATTATAGATTCCTTTGGAAATGAGTTTGAAAGAATCTGTTTCTGTAAGAATAACATGACTAAAATTTTAGAGAATATAAACAAGAGTGGAACAAAAGGCTAGTAACCCCTTCTGTATATATTACTGAAGTTAAAAAGAGAAACTTTTGTTTTTCATTTTGAGCCACCCTGCTTTGGTGGAATATGGCCAGTTTGTTGAAAGAAGATAAACAAAAGTGTAAACAAAATACTGTGTACACCCAGTTTGTTTTTAAAATGTTTTGGAAATGTTGTCTGTATGAACTTTGTACTGAAAGGTTTCTACACATTACCATTTCTTGATGTATAGTGCTCCTTGGGAATTCATGGGGTGGGTATATCATTGAATTTCCATGAAATTTAAAAACTTCAAATACCTGTATTGTACTTGTGTAATTAAGTTTTGCATTTCTGTGACCATTTCTAAATATTGCTCTAACCTGATTAATGTTGTCATCCATATAAAAGTTTCGAGAATGAAGGAAGATTAGGTTGTGAGGAATCCAGTGAGCACATCTTCCATGAAATTCTGTGGATGGTTTAGGGGTCAAGAGCCATAGCACAAGAAAATGAGCTCTATAAAAATAGGCATTTTTAGAAACATTTTATAGGAGATTCACAAGGAAAAAGTCAGCCAATTTGTAAAGATTACTGTATATCATGATAACACAAATGATATGTCTTGTTATGACAGCTGTTGCTCACAAGGAAGAAAATAAATTTTCAATGGGCTATTTTTGTCCATCAGTATCCAGGTTGTTTGAAAATCTTTGATTTTGTTAAAGCTTATACTGATGTAATATACAAGTTGTGTGTTGAAATTGTTCGTTTATGAGGGCAGAGTTGTCCGTGAGGAGATGCAGCACCATTTTGTTTGTCATAGGTGCATTTGTGTAATTATTCACCACACTGATTCTACCATACAACTTTGTTTTACTTCCTTACTCTCATTCTACCATTCTTTGTATACTCCACCACTCTCATTTTACCATGCTTCTTTGTGTACTCCACTCATTCTACCTTGCTTCTTTTGTTTACTCCACCACTCATTCTATCATGCTTCTTTGTTTTATGCTTTAAATAATCATAATTATCCTTTATTATATTACAAATTTATATTATTTATTATTATTTATTAAAAAATTTACACCCAATAAAAACTGCTACAAATTCATTATTGTATAACTGCAGGGATGTATCCATGGGTCACCCAGAGTGGTTAGCAATGGGTATATATAGATTATGGCTCTTACACCTAAGTTTATAATATTTGTAACTATCCTTTATCCTTATCACACGGTTATACTGTATTAAATATTTATGTTTTGTCCATAAAACACAATGTGTCTACTTGGCTTATTCACTAAGCATTTTTTTGTCAAACAAGCAGAGTAAGTTTGTTGTAATTAGCAAAAACCAGTTTTAAGAATTACGTCCGTTACTTCTCTCAGAACCATGTCAAGTTTTGACTACATACATATTTGATGTGTTAAAATTCAGGAGGGCATATGATCATTACATACAAAATACTCAAAAATACTCAGGGAAGGGGGGCATGGACTGGGTAGACAAGGAATGGATCTTGACTGGACTGTGTCACTTAATGGACTGTGTGTTCTTAACACATGTGGTCTGAGTGATCAGTTTAGTAACAAGGAGGCCTAGTCCAGGACCAGACCTTGGGAGCAGCAAACTCTGAAACAACCAGGAAGTTGAAAGGTAAGAATGCAGTTAGAAATTACACACCCAAATGAGCCATTTTTTTTTAATATAATAAAGAAGTTGCTAAAACGTAGATATTGAAGAGCCATATAACATGCCATATTAGTTCATTTACCTCTCTTTAAGTGCAAAATGTTTTCCCATTGGCCACCTCTTATGTGCATTGATATTTGTCTACAGAAAAAATCTGGCTCTAAAACATACAAAACGAATAATAATCATACGTCAGTTAATGGCATGATTCGTAAATGCTCCAAGTTGGACCAAAATGTCATCATAAGTTTGTCTCCTATGTGCGAGTTATTTGTGTATTGTTCCAGTCATTGTATTGTGAATATTTATTCTTTATGAACAAGCTTTGTTATGGAGAAGATATGGTACTTCAGTTTTTCCTAGGTTCAGTCCTGGTACCAATACTCTTCTGTATACTTGTTGGTGATTTGTTTTAAATGGTCAAATCCTACATATTGATGTTTGTAGATGATGCAAAGTTCATTAGGAAAACAAAAATTGTTGGATGAATTCAGCAAGCCTTAATAATGTCAAAATCTCTATTTATCAAGGATTTTGGAGTTCAGAGCAAATATTCTTACTCAAACTTGTCTTAACACGAGTTGCATGATGTTACTTGGTAAAGTACGTAACTATTGGTGGATGGGTATTAAAATGTTTAATATGGATATATCTGTTGCTGTGTGATAATAGAAAACTTTACACTACAAGGAATTTTGGCTTACATTGCTTTCATTTTGCCTTGTAACTTTACCTAATGAATAATTTACATTTTGTATATATATTTTACAAGTCAATAAGGATAACAGGCATTGATGAGGATTGTTTTTTTTATTTGATTTACGTTATAATGTTCTGTCTTGGCATTTTTCCATGAAATTTGCCTTAGATTTTCAGGCCCAATCACACTGAAGGCCTTCAGCTCTAATCGATCTGATTTTATGGTGTTTGATGGTCTGCAGCATCAGTATGAAGCTCACATTTTCTCAAACATGTAAGAAAGATTGAATGTTTATAGATTTACCACCAGACTAAACACTGAGGTAACAGACATATGAGGAAAGACTTTTTTTTTTTTTTTTTTTTTTTTTTCTTCAACAAGTCGGCCGTCTCCCACCGAGGCAGGGTGACCCAAAAAAGAAAGAAAATCCCCAAAAAGAAAATACTTTCATCATCATTCAACACTTTCACCACACTCACACATTATCACTTTTTGCAGAGGTGCTCAGAATACAACAGTATAGAAGCATACACATATAAAGATACACAACATATCCCTCCAAACCTTAATTTCATATCAAGAAGCATAAATAATAGGAGTCCTCAGGTTGTTCTTCAACTCTATACATCCTTGGTTAGGCCTCATTTAGATTATGCTGCACAGTTTTGGTCACCGTATTACAGAATGGATATAAATGCTCTGGAAAATGTACAAAGGAGGATGACAAAGTTGATCCCATGTATCAGAAACCTTCCCTATGAGGATAGACTGAGGGCCCTGAATCTGCACTCTCTAGAAAGATGTAGAATTAGGGGGGATATGATTGAGGTGTATAAATGGAAGACAGGAATAAATAAAGGGGATGTAAATAGTGTGCTGAAAATATCTAGCCTAGACAGGACTTGCAGCAGTGGTTTTAAGTTGGAAAAATTCAGATTCAGGAAGGATATAGGAAAGTACTGGTTTGGTAATAGAGTTGTGGATGAGTGGAACAAACTCCCGAGTACAGTTATAGAGGCCAGAACATTGTGTAGCTTTAAAAATAGGTTGGATAAATACATGAGTGGATGTGGGTGGGTGTGAGTTGGACCTGATAGCTTGTGCTACCAGGTCGGTTGTCGTGTTCCTCCCTTAAGCCAATGTGACCTGACCTGACTAGGTTGGGTGCATTGGCTTAAGCCGGTAGGAGACTTGGACCTGCCTCGCATGGGCCAGTAGGCCTGCTGCAGTGTTCCTTCGTTCTTATGTTCTTAAAACAAAGACTCAGAGGATATATAATACAAAAAGATAATGCACTCGGAAGTACTACACCAACAAGGTGGTTAAAAGTAAAGAAGGGCAAGCCTGGATGGGGGGAGGGGTACAATGAAACCCTGAATGTGAGAATAACAGTGATGTATGAGGTGGCTGCATTATGTTGCAGTGCTGTATAGCCCTTGTGGTTTAGCGCTTCTTTTTTATTATAATAATATGTACAGAAAGGTTGTAAAAGAAGCAAATGTACAGAAGAGGTTGTAAAAGTAGCAAATATACAGTATGTACAGAAGAGGTTGTAAAAGAAGTAAATATACAGGACGTATACAGTAAAAAGTGATTATGAAAGAAAATGATCTTATACTAGGGTAAATATCAAATAAGTTGCACTTTTAGTTAGGAACTCTTAAGACATTGCTTGCTGATTAAGATGCTTTTTCTGTTCATTCATTTCCTTTTGTAATTTACAATGAAACTTTTACTTCGCAACACTTAATACGAGTAGAAATGCTGAATAAATTAGCTGTGTAGTTTTTAACATGACTAATTACCAGTGTACGGCCAACCTTCATTTCACCATACTAATAGGGGGTAGCAAGTGGCCACTAATGGCAATTGTGGTGAATGAAGAGATTATTTAGCCTCAGTCTTAACGATAATGGACAATTTTGTAACCAGTGGACTTTGTCCATTGTTTCTTAATCAGTTGACCCGGCCAGTTCTCTCCTGTATTTCCAAAATCAGTTTAATCAAAGTCCATTAAATCAATGTTTTACATTTCTTAAAACTTGAAGGCAAAAAAATGTATACTGTATTTCTATTATATCATTATTAAAGTGCTAATGCTTATTGTATCTCCCTTGTTTCAATATTATTATAGTGCAATAATGTATCTCCCTTGTTTCAGTATTATTATAGTGTACTAATGTATCTCCTTTGTTTCAGTATTATTAGAGTGCACTAATGTATCTCCTATGTTTCAGTATACTTTTAATAATGTGACACCTCACTTGTACTGGGGACAGTAATGTCACAGGATGGAATCATAATTTATGGATCTTAATTTTATTTTTCAATCAAGTCCTCACAATATGAATTATTTGGTTTTAGGTCAGTTGATCATCGGTTATCTGGTGCTGTTGGGGAGAGATTGTGGTGAATTTTCAATAACTCTTAATAATTTAATAATTGCATAATTTTTAATGGTTTCTGTTGTTTTCACATTTTTTCCTCATTTTGTTCAGGTGCTGTGCACAAAAAACACCTGATAATGTTAAGCACAGAATAAGCAGTCAGCAGATAATCCATGATCTACTGTCTTATTTTTTGCCCTCTCCTCCTTTTTTATTTAACCAAGAAATTTTCATTGTTACTGTGTAGTATAGACACCTGTAAGCTTAAGAGAAATGAAAGTTAATGATCCATAAGAGAATCATAAATTATTGTTTTCTGGTAGATTTTGCTAACATTTCTATATGCAAGTATATGTTATAGCATATGTTTCCTTGCATGCCAACATTCCTTACATGGAGAGAGTTTTGGAAATGTAGTGTTCTGTTAGGTCTCTTTAAATCTTGTACCTTTTTAAAATGCATTAACTGTATATTCCCAGCACCTTTGAGCATTTGGTACAACCAATTTACAAAAAAAGGCTTTCTTTCAGCTAGTTACTGTATGTCTAATAGTTGGCTGGGAAAACAAGTACAGAAAGTATGCTGTCGCTAAGTTTCCCTGAGGATAATGGGCTTAAGAAGTTCTTCTTTCAAAATTAGTGTAAGGGCTGTATTGTAGATGTGTATTTTAATCGTCTTTTACTGTATAATTATTGTTTCATTATGTGTAGTATCCCTGAAATAATTGTATGAATCTAAAGGGTTTAAAATCCCTTATGCAGTTTCAGTCCCGATGTGTTCAGATTTTTGGCAGTAATCATAACATATTTGTTGTAATTGTGTCTGTGCATTTGAGTTGTCACTTGCACATATGTACAAATGTGTAAATTGCTCCAGGTTTCATATTATGGGAAATTGGACCCCTTAACAGTGGCAGGAGTATCAATGTTGTCTGGTTTTCTGTACATGATGGGATCCCCCCAGCTAGCATACAGGGATTTCTGCCCGAGGCTATAATGTATCATCCTAAAAATAATAGGAAAACAAGTAGTGATGCATTCTTTACATTTCTGAAAATTGTAACTAAAGGCTAAAGGCTTCTGCCTACCACTGGTGTGCCCACTATGTTGTTTCTCTATCATACAGGTCACCAATTTAAAAATGAATTGTTTCCATTTCAATTTACAAATGAGTTTGTATAGGAAACTTTAGTACAAAAGATAACTTTAGTTTTACACGTGTTCATACAGTAGCTCAGTGGTTGTAAAAACTTTGATTCCTAAGTGCCGCATTTGTATTTACATGTAAGAAAATGCATTATCTATCTGTTAATTATACTAGAAGTGCCCATCAACATCTGGCAACCAGTGACTTGGGAAAATGGGGCACTTTTTGCAAAATAAGCTATTTTTGAATACACAAATTTCAAATCAATGCCCCTTTTCAAAGAGTTGCAACCATAATTACATTTCTCTTTTCTTTCTATCCAGTCATTATTCAGATATAGATGAAACTGCCTGATAGCTTTAAAAAATATTTCACAACCTTCATTTTCGATGACTACCCCTTAACGAAGAGCTATTCTGTACATCTAAATCATGAGGATTAGTTTCAACACCTCATACAGTACTAGGTCTTTCTCACTGCCTACAGTTACAGTTATTACCTACTCCATCAATATTCTTTCTTAGGTTGTCTTTATTTTCTAAGATCTTGATTCTTTTCATTTAGCCCATCTTGTGATCTATTTTATAATTTGTCTCTGAGGTAGAGAACTACCAACAATACTGGACTGGTTTATACTCGTATCAGTGATATATTTTGTAGGAATGTGGATAGTCTCTGAATTGTAGGGATGAACCAAACTGTTTAAAACAGAACAGCATCCCAAACTGCTTGCACTGAAAAGAAACTGGTCAGCCAGATGCTGTAAATGCTGCTTTTGTATATGTACGGTACAAATATTTAAAAATTGATACATGTGAAGGTGATTTGTAAATAAAAATATTGTAAGGTACAAATTCAATAAGTATGAGTAAGCTAGTTCATTAACAGTGAATCTGTAATCAACTGATATTTACTGTACAGACAGTACAGTATCTGTACTTCACTTCAAAAAAAAAAATGGTCGGCAAATTTTTTTAATTGAGCCTGTGAATGGTGATTTGTCTCAGGAAATTGAAAGCTAATTATTCACAGGCTAAACATGCATGATATATGAACAGTAGTTGGTATAAATCAACCTGTATTGAAACTAGAACCAAGGTTAGGACGAGTTCTGTATGTTTTTGGCTTACATTGAGGCCCTCTTCAGCAGATATTATAAAACAGAGATACAATTTTCATCTTCTTGTGTTTCCTTTGTGGTTTGTGTGCCATTGATTTGCTCATTAAATTTTTTTTTTAACAGTAGTAAAACACATTTGAAGATATAGCATTTAATTTTGTTTTGGGGTGGACTAGGTAGACCAGCTTTGGTCAAATGATCAAATGTTTCACTGAACAAGTTGTCGTATAACGAAGACCCTTCAAAAAGAAACCTTCCCTCCTCTCCTGACAAACAGTATTTTCCTCCCTAACAGGCATTTATCACAGCATAAACTGAATAATGCAGACACTTTAGCTGTATTCAAAGGGGGACTTGATAATTGCCTAGACTCGGTACCTGATTAGCTAGGCTGTGGTGCTTATTTTGGACTGCATGCTGAAAGCACCATCAGCCTGACTAATTAGGCTAATCTACCAGGAAGTCTGATCTGAATTGCAGCTGTGGGAGCAATGACCTCTGGAATCAACAACAGGTACAGTAGTATTGGCTTTTTATGTACAGTAGTTATTTTACTCTACCACATTAAATTATCTATCATCAGTAACTGGATGCACAGTAATGAAGTTCTTTGTATATCAGTAGTAAAATATATTGACATGTTAATAAGACACAACATAAGGTGTATGGAATTTTACTGAGATAACCTTTCGTCCACTAGAGATCCGACAGGCCCTGGTGGACTACACACCTTAGTAAAATGCCATAAACACATATTGTCTTATTAATGTGTTCCTGCTTTGCAAATAATCTTATGAATACAGTGCTGTGCTCATCTTAAGATATATAGAAAATTTAAATGATTTTTTCCAGACTTTGCAAGATACATCCAAGTTATAGTCTAACGTGCATGCTGTTAAATGTACATAACTTTGAAACCTCCAATGTATTTTCATTCTAACAGCATGAAAAAGTCTCTGATAAAAGAATAGGTTAAAAATTATATACTACAATGAATTTTACTGTTTTCAGTGAATTTTTTTAATAAAGAGATTGGGAAAAAAATTGGCCATTGAAAATACAAAAATGGCCTTACCACTTATAAAACAAATGTATAAGATTGTTTAAATAGGTTATCTTGGCAATATTTAATGTAAGAGCCCAGTGAACTAGCTGAAGATCTTAAGACTCGTTAGTCAGTTATGCATGCAGGGTGGAAGATATTTTAGAGAAGTCCCTTCAGGGTAGGTGCCTTGAAACCACTTATGGTCTCTATCCAAGGAATTAGAGTTGCCCTCCCCTTGGATTAAATCTGATTGCCTCCCTTTCTCGAGGTAGTGTATGACCCCTACAGATTTAGCACTCCCCCCATGGATGTACTCAAGTTGTTAAATGAAGTACAGTATTCAAGTTGGATGTTAAAAAGTGTTAAGCTCGGGGAAGTTCCATATGTAATTAGTAATACTGTATTAAAATGCAATTTACACTGTGCACAATCTAAAATATATTATTTGCCTTAAGTTATTAGATTGTTGTATGATAATGAAAATGTGATCTATATTTGATGCCCAGTTTAATAAAGTTCATTATTTTTACAGTAGATAAAAGCCAAACCAAATACTGTAGCCTTTTAAAGTCTTGCACAAACATTGTAGGGACACTGTAAATGAGCATTTAATAAATGTGCATACAGTAATAAGAGCTGAATTTATATTGTAATAGAGAAATAAAAGTTATATTAAAGCTTGATTCATTGTGTAATTTGCTTTTGTGTCCTTTAAGGTCTTGATTCTGATGAAGGGCTTTTGGTCTGAGGAATTAGAGCTATCTTGCCCTTCCTTAGATCAAGTCTGATAATTTTTCCATTCTCCAGGTGCTGTATGACCCTTACATGTTTAATACTCCCACAAATATACACTATAATAAATATTTAACTTCTGATAGTTTGTTTACATATATGGTACACGTATATCTTGGGTTTCCCTCAATTTATCCAAGGTTCACAATGTGTGAATTCTCTTACATTCAGCAACTCTTATTTCTATCAGGAATTTGCTATTCATGAAAGCAAGTAGTCACTGTACTCTTCGTAGATGTCACTTTGTGTGGAACATTGTGGGAGTGATGCCTCACTCTCAGAATGACAAATTTTGCCTTGTTTACTGTAGTGCTCACACCTTGGCTTATTTGTAATATTTTCCTTGCATGTCTAACATTGCACTCATCATTATGGCTTCTCAACATCCTACTAATTCATCATCTATCCCTGTCTGACCACAGAAGAAATGTAGGAGTACTACTACTCTCACACTGGAGATGAAGCTGGAGATTTAGATTTTGAATTGTGACGTGGATAAGGCGTCATCTGCATCTGGGCATGTATTTAATGTTAGTGACTCCACCATTTACTCCGTTCAAGAGAATGTTGAAAGCCTGTTTTTAGAGAAGCTGGAGATAATGCTGCATGCCAGTGTGGATGGAAGAGCTAGAACCAAAGGAATATGAATCCCTGCTTGGCTACAGTCAAGGGTTAGGTCCAGAAAATTTTATTGTGGCTGATGAAAGTGAACCTCAGGAGCCCTCAATGGCTAGTGAGGGCTGGTTTGATCAGTTTCTTTGGGTGTCTGAACCTGCAAAACATTAAGGTGACAAGAATATGCAAGTGCTGATCATGCTGCTTCTATAAAGTACCCTAAGGACCCAAAGGTAATCATAGCTGCTGAAGACTACAGTTTGAAGGAAGTTTTACAGTGCAGACAAGACAGCTTTTCTGGATTGGATGCCATCTAGGATGTAGATCTCTAAGGAGAATACTGCAGGGGGTCTAAGGTGGCAAAGGGCAGTCTGATTGTCCTGTTGTGCAGTAGTGCTGCAGGTTTCAGGTTTAGGCAAATACTGGTCTACCACTTCCTTGGTGCACACAGACTGGAAGGGCTAGGAGAATGATGCCTGTACACTGGTATACAAACCACGAATGATGGGTGACAGTGCTATTACAAGGAGTCAGCCTTTAAGATATTGCTCATCTTTGACACCTCTATTTGAGTATTCTGTGGATATAGGCAGTACACCCTCAAGGGAGGTTCCTTGATGCTGATGAGGGGTTGTTGATCTAAGGAATTTGATCTGTTCTTCCCTTCCTTGGACTGAACCTGACTGCCTCCCATTTCCACAGGCACTGTTGGTAGATGATCAGTCCTGTAAAATAGCTAAGAGCTGTTTACAGTGTATGTGTTAGTCTACAGCTGGACAATATATGCCAGATCTTCCTTGGATCAAATGTGATGGAATCCCATTCCACTCACTGTATGATCCTGAGGGTTTAGTGCTCTTACTGTAATAGTAATTGAATATGCAAACCAAATCACCGTTTCATCCCTTCATACTGAACACACCCTTGTTGATCCAGCCTCTTGGTCAGGGAGTTATTGCATCTAAGGGGATCATTTCCCAACTGCTGTGGATACTGGTAGATCTAAGAAGCCAACATTTTTTGGGTATTGGAAGGCCTACAACATAAACAGATGCAATTAACAACATTAAGGCTTCAAGGGAGGAAGTAGAGTCCATTACCTCGAATGGTGCTTGAAAGTTCCTCCAGAAAGACTTACGAATTTCAAGGGCTTTATAAAACTGTCGGCAAGTGCACGAGAAGGTGAACTGGGATGAAGGCGGGAGAAGGCTTCTCAGACCTTGATACGGAACTTAGTGACACACACTGCAAAAAAAAAAAAAGTGTTGATGACATCATTGAGATCACTACAGTTGAAGAGGAAGAAGAGGATGCCATGCTTCTCAATGTAAAGGACCCTCCCATGAAAAAGCTGGCATAATTGTTTACACAATTGAGAGACTTTCCCAGTTTGCCATGAACAGTGACCCTAGTCTGGAGAGGAGCGTGCAGCGCTGTATAGTCCTTGTGGCTTAGCGCTTCTTTTTGATTATAATAATAATGGAGAGGAGCGTGAAGTTCAAATGTAACATGAAGAGCGCCCTTAGTATCTACAAGGTATATTCCTAGAGGCAATGAAAGGCTAAGTAGTTTTCCATGTAGCAGTTCTAAAGTTCCCACTCCAACTAGCCCTTTACCTGTCTGCCCTGACTGGTGTTGTCTGATAATGATAACTTGTGTGTGCCTCTGATGTTACCCTGCCTTCTACAAGTGATGTGGATTGTAATTTTAAGAGAACTCAACCAAATGACGCTGGAGGACTAGGGAGGGGGATATAACATACAAAATACTGAGAGGAATTGACAAGGTGAATAGGAACATTGTTTGAGAGATGGGAAACAGGAACACTAGGGCACAGCAGGAAGTTAAAAATTCAGGGGAGTCATAGGAATGTTGGGAAGTATTTCTTCAGCCTAAGAGCAGTGAGGAAGTGGAATAAATGAGAGAGTAAAGTGGTAGGGCAGGACCCATACATAGCTTTAAGAAAAGGTACAATAAGGCTCTCGGGAGACAGGAGAGTGTGAACCTAATAGCGACCAGCGAAGAAGCGGGGCCAGAGAGCTGAGCTCGATCCCTGCAACCACATATAGGTGACTTCACCTCGGTGTGTATACAGCTCTCAGAGTTCCTGTCTATCAACGAGCACGCAGAATTTTCCTGGGACGATGCTACCGCTCTAACGCCCTTTATTGTCCCTCCTCAAAGAAAGGCTGAGAGCACTTTAGAGTTGTGGCAGGTTTTCATCCCAGGTATGGAGCTAATGTTAAAATTGTGAAAATGATGTATCTTGCTTATATTAGATCATTGGTTGATTATGCGGCGCCACTACTTGCACTCGTGTCTGACTGGAAGCTTGGAGGGCTGGAAAAACTGCAAAACGAAGCAATGAGGATCATCCTAGGATGCCCTCGTACTGCCAAAATTTTAAATATGCGGAAAGAACTTAATATTCCAAGCATTAGAGATCATGTTACTGAAAGAAATATCCTTATTGGGGTCAATATGCTTAGGTTAGCCCATTCAAACCCCTGCACAGAAGCCCTCCAAACTTTCCTCAGCACTGGTGAACATCCTTCCAGATGGATCGAAAAAACTGGAACCGACCTCCGCATGAACCAGCTACATGATCTATGTCAAGTTAGACAACAGAGACATTCCCTGCTCCATGGGATATTACCCCATTCCAAACTACCATTCCTCCATTTGCCCCCAAAACTCTTCTTAAATCACAACCAAAGCTTCGTCTTGAAGCCAAACATGATGCCTTAAGCTGTATTGATAACTTAGTCACACACAACACTTTCACAAATTATTTACGTTGATGGTTCTGTTTACCAATCCACTGGTGCAGCTGGTAGTGCTGCTGTTGTCATACAGAGTGATGGCTCTCTTAAAGAAATTGGAGCACGCATCAATAACTGGGCCTCTACCCTTCAAACAGAACTGTTTGCCATACTCCTTGCACTCAAATGCGTCCATGTATCTAAGGTTGACACTAATTGTAACTGATTCTCTGTCATCCATAAATGCTCTCAACTCATTAAGTATAAATTGTGGCATGCTTGTGTCAGAAGCCAGACACAGGTATGGTAAGATTGTGGACAGTGGAGTCAGAGTGCACATGCTGTGGATTTCATCTCACATTGGTCTTCAGATGCATGATAGAACTGATAAATTGGCTAAGCTGTATGCTTTCAAAGAGGGAGTAGATTACAATCTTGGGTTGTCAGTTAGCAGTTTGAGAACAATAATACGAAAAGAACTTCAAATGAACTTTATTCACTTAAGACTTAGGGAGATTGACACAAGTCAGTCCATCTATCATCATTCCATCATGCAGAAGGAGCCACATGTCTATGGCGCATCCAACAAGATAAGCAGACTCTTGGATGTCACTACTGCCCGGCTCTGGCTGGGTTACAAGTATTACCTGGAGAGAGTTCCGGGGGTCAACGCCCCCGCGGCCCGGTCTGTGACCAGGCCTTCTGGTGGATCAGAGCCTGATCAACCAGGCTGTTGCTGCACGCAAACCAACGTACGAGCCACAGCCCGGCTGGTCAGGAACCGACTGTAGGTGCTTGTCCAGTGCCAGCTTGAAGACTGCCAGGGGTCTGTTGGTAATCCCCCTTATGTATGCTGGGAGGCAGTTGAACAGTCTCGGGCCCCTGACACTTATTGTATGGTCTCTTAACGTGCTATTGACACCCCTGCTTTTCATTGGGGGGATGTTGCATCGTCTGCCAAGTCTTTTGCTTTCGTAGTGAGTGATTTTCGTGTGCAAGTTCGGTACTAGTCCCTCTAGGATTTTCCAGGTGTATATAATCATGTATCTCTCCCGCCTGCGTTCCAGGGAATACAGGTTCAGGAACCTCAAGCGCTCCCAGTAATTGAGGTGTTTTATCTCCGTTATGCGCGCCGTGAAGGTTCTCTGTACATTTTCTAGGTCAGCAATTTCACCTGCCTTGAAAGGTGCTGTTAGTGTGCAGCAATATTCCAGCCTAGACAGAACAAGTGACCTGAAGAGTGTCATTATGGGCTTGGCCTCCCTAGTTTTGAAGGTTCTCATTATCCATCCTGTCATTTTTCTAGCAGATGCAGGTTAAATCACCGCCACAAGATGTAGACCAAACGAAATGTAAACTTTGCCAGATGGACTATTGTCACACCTTGCGTCATTATGTACTGGAGTGTGATCAAATTAATGAATTTAGAAACAACTCGCTCAGAAATATTCAAGAAATGGGAAAGTATTTTATCCACAGTGGTATATTACAGACCATTCTGGAGAAATACCCTGACTTTGCTAGCTGTAAATAATGCATTACCGTGTGTGTGCGTGTGTGTTAGTTACCATTTTGTCCTAGGCACATGTCGATTAGACACTAGGCCTGTTGTATATGAGTACGTGTGTGTGTGTGTGTGTGTGTGTGTGTGTGTGTACTCACCTATTTGTACTCACCTATTTGTGGTTGCAGGGGTCGATTCATAGCTCCTGGCCCCGCCTCTTCGCTGATTGCTACTAGGTCCTCTCTCTCCCTGCCCCATGAGCTTTATCATACCTCGCCTTAAAACTATGTATGGTTCCCGCCTCCACTACGTCACTTTCTAGGCTATTCCACGGTCTGACTACTCTATGATTGAAGAAATACTTCCTAACATCCCTTTGATTCATCTGAGTCTTCAACTTCCAATTGTGACCTCTTGTGTCTGTGTCCCATCTCTGGAACATCCCGTCTTTGTGGACGTATCAGCGGTTCATTACTTTGCAATTTGTTCATGACTGTAACCATGTATAGGAGTGAGGCTGATTCATTACCTCTGTAACTTGCCATGATTGTGACCAGATCTACCTGGAGTTCATTACCTTTGTAACTAGTTCAGCTATCATAACTTTGGGGTCCAGTTCCTGAACCCATTATATACCTTTGTAATCTTTTGACTACCGCCCACAGGATGGGTATGGGGTGCATAATAAAGATATTAAACTAACTAAATTACTGACGGACCCACCTTTGACACAGATTCCCTCTTCGACTTTTTGACAGCAACTGATTTACTTCACAAACTTTGATAATCCTTTAGCAGTCCTCACAGCCCCTCCTAACTTTACCTTCATTGTCATCACCCTTATTTATCCTTAAATTCTGCATCATTTCCTACCCTGCAGCGCTGTATGACCGTGGTAGGTTTAGCGCTTCCTTTTGATTGTAATAATCAGTTTGTAAATAGACATTTACCTCAAGAGGTATATACACAGATATGCACTCTGAGATTTACACCTCGATGTATATACACCTTGCTGCACATTTAAAAGTGTAAGAGATATTGTATATACCTGCTGCTCATCTATAATTGTAAGAGGTGTAAATATACTCCTTGCTGTTCATTTATAGCCCCTCAAGGAAGGTTCCTTGACGCTGGTGAGGGGCTCTTGATCTAGGGAATTGGATCTGTGCTCCAGTTCCCTGAATTAAACCTGATTACCTTCCACATCCCCCCCCTACAGGCGCTGTATAATCCTAAGGGTTTAGCGCTTCCCCCTTGATTACAATAACAATAATGTTCATTTATAGGTGTAAGATGCGTATATACTCCTTACTGTGCATTAAGTATGGAGTCGCATGTGTTGTGGGTGGTGTACCTAATGGCGGTATCTAGCACTCGCATTATTATGCAAACAATTTTGTCTTTGTTTACATCTCAGTTGAGGGGTGTCCACGTTAAATAAAATTAACACGAAGCTGCCACGTACAACGGTAATCAGTATTAAATGGAACTACCTAAATAGTGAGATAATACGTGTTATGTATGACCTTGTTTGTGTTTAAATAAGTAAACATTACAACCAAGTAGGTATGTCAACATTTCCCTTATTATGAAATACTGTGGGATAAACCATCTATATGAAATGTGAACACTTAAGTAATTAAGAACTGTTAACCGGCATTTGTTATAAGATCAAGATCAAGAACTAGAAAAAAAATCATGAACACTGTTATACATACATATACATAAATATATAGAGAAATTTCCCCGTCGAAGCTTCTAATCTTTTAAGTTAATAAAAGAGAATTTCGTAGTTGTCAGCATTGAAGATAAAACATGGGAGCTGTTCAATATAAAATGGAATATCTTTAATAAATTTAGCATTGATACCGTTTGGTGCATTTGAAGAGGATAATGGGAAAAAATGATTTTTCGGCTGGCAGTGGGGTAGACAGGTCTGCAGGGCCTGCAGTCATTAGTTGAACTACAACGTCAAGGTGGAGTGTACGCTCATTTTCTGGTGGCATTACCGTTACAGTATATATATTGAACTGTGCAGTGGGGGGGAAAAATACATCGTGATACGGGAAACCTACATTACAATTTATATGAGTGCTGGAACCAGCGGTGAGGGAATTAGTATAAATTTACTTAACGTTGGTAAACATACGTCAGGCAGATCCCAAGAGTAAGTTTTTTTTATAGGAGCATTTATTGTTTACGAAAATATATTTTAAATTTATTTAGATTTTCTTGAGGAAGGAAATTTTTAAGGAAATGGTTCTTAAACGTTCTTTGGCACCTCACAGCTACCATTGTGGGTTGAGTGCTTGGCTGACTCGCCGGTTTTGTTACAAGATAAATAATTAATATTGTTTGGGTGAATTAAGTAAATTTTGAAGAAGGAAAGTTTTGTAGGCTAAGTATAAATTCCACAGCAGCTGTGGTATGTAAGAAAATTATCATGGGTGTGTTTTATACTTATTTTTTTTTTTTTTTATTATCACACCGGCCGATTCCCACCAAGGCAGGGTGGCCCGAAAAAGAAAAACTTTCACCATCATTCACTCCATCACTGTCTTGCCAGAAGGGTGCTTTACACTACAGTTTTTAAACTGCAACATTAACACCCCTCCTTCAGAGTGCAGGCACTGTACTTCCCATCTCCAGGACTCAAGTCCGGCCTGCCGGTTTCCCTGAATCCCTTCATAAATGTTACTTTGCTCACACTCCAACAGCACGTCAAGTATTAAAAACCATTTGTCTCCATTCACTCCTATCAAACACGCTCACGCATGCCTGCTGGAAGTCCAAGCCCCTCGCACACAAAACCTCCTTTACCCCCTCCCTCCAACCCTTCCTAGGCCGACCCCTACCCCGCCTTCCTTCCACTACAGACTGATACACTCTTGAAGTCATTCTGTTTCGCTCCATTCTCTCTACATGTCCGAACTTTATACTTATATTATATTATATATTATATTATACACACACTTGTATTGTGTTATGCGTTCGTATTCCATGGATTGATATGATATTTCGTTTTTCACCTCATGGTGGCACAGATAGGCTCCACTGTACCATTGGCTAAGTAAGGTTAATGTAGTAAGAAGCTAATAAAAGAATTTCGTATTCTTACAAAGTTCAATAATGCAATAAAAATACATTTGTATTAAAATTAGATTAACATCAAACGACTGACCTTTTTGCGTATATTTTTCAAGATAGTTGTCAAGAGCAAACTATGTTGACTTGACACACCCAACAGGCACGAAGCCTCTCAAGGAAGGTTCCTTGATGCTGGCGAGGGGCTCTTGATCTTGGGAATTGGATCTGTGCTCCGGTTCCTTGAATTAAGCCTGGATACCTTCCATCCCCTCCCTCCCACAGGAGCTGTATAATCCCTACAGGGTTAGCGCTCTCCCATGATAATTACAGGCAAGAAGATTCGTCTCTCGTGTAATAATAGTACTCGGTAATTTGTACTCAAGCTTCAGCATGAGTACAAACAATACAAACTTCATTTCTATAAATTAAGCCTGAATTCCTTCCACATCCCCCCCAGGCGCTGTATAATCCTCTGGGTTTAGCGCTTCCCCCTTGATTTTAATAATAATAATATAAAGTGGAATACAGTATATTATACAATTTGGCTGATTGACATAGAACTTCATAGAAAGTCGATTGGTATGCAGAACATTCTGGGCAGTGTGCCAAATGATAAAAAAAAAAAAACCCGTTTGTTGTAACAAATTTAATTTGAATTATGGACGCAAATAAGCAAGCAAGTTCTTATTGAGGCCTTGTACATAATTTGAAACTCGTACAATGGTTTCACGTAAATTATTCGGAATTTAATAACCAGGGATAACCGAATCAAGTTAATGTGGCAACTGCATCAAGGTATTTCTATTGATATTTATTGTATTAATTACCCATAGATTCTGCCAAATGTATTTTATGCAAATGTAAATGTATTTGTTACTATAGGAAGAATATAAACAGATGGAGTTAGTGCTATAGCGGAAGTGTAAACTTGAAACACCATTCAGTGGGTACTCTGGGTCATTGGCCCCGGACGCCATGCAAAGTAGAATGAAAGTAACAGTGTTCAGGACTGAATGCCAATATCAGCCAGTAGTGCTATAACTATGAAGCGAGAAAGGAGAATGGAAGGATATATGGTTTTTTTTTTTTTCGTAAGTTAAACTTTATCATAAAAATTAACTGAGATTCTCGTTGTGTAGTTGCGGTAACCCGCTGAAATTGGCAGCTGATTTAACGCTCGTAAATAATATTGAGTATAATTACTTCCTTGTAATTATGTATTTGTAGGTACAGGTGTCCCCGTGGTGTCACCGTCTTCAGTAATTTAGTAAGAGAGATAAGATAGGATTTTCTTCGAATTTTTAACCCCGGAGGGTTAGCCACCCAGGATTACTCGAGGAAATCAGTGCGTCATCGAGGACTAACTTATTTCCACTGTGATTCTTAATCTTGTCCCCCAGGATGCGACTCACACCAGTCGACTAACACCCAGGTTCGATTCCCGCCAGGAATCGAACCCGAGCCCTCCGTGTGTGAAGTGAGAGGTTTAGCCACCGGGCCATAATGTATATTTATTTTCTTTAATTTCCAATGGTTGTAACACGTATTACATACTGTAATTCACTCCAGTGATCTGCCACTGTGAAGAAAAAAAAATCATAGAATCCATTCGGTTCCAAGTTGTTCTCAATTTACAACTGTGGTCCATTGTTATCCCTGCTGCTGGTAAGAAAATTTGCTTTATCTAATCTCATGTCCTTTTATGACTACTCATGTTTCCTGTTTTCTTTCTATTGGCCAGCGTGGGCATCTTTTAATGCTTTCACCCATTCGATTGGTTAATAATGGGGTTTAAAGCCCATTGACTTCAGCACAGAAAAGCTCTCTGACCTCATCGAAGGTCAGGGTAAGGTCATTAAAGCTGCACTGTAACCTTTTCATCACCAGACATACTTTAATCCTTTAAAAAAAAAACTATTAAACTCTCAGCATATATACACTGAGAGACATACACCCCTCAGGATATATATATATATATATATATATATATATATATATATATATATATATATATATATATATATATATATATATATATATATATATATATATAATTACTCTTTTCCAGCCTTTATCGTAACTCATTTTTTTAACTCTTGGTAACCTTATCCACAATGTGCGGGTTAAGGCATTTTATTTACCGAAACATATCGTCCACCAGGGATTTAATTATTTCCAATAGAATATAACACAAGGGATTGAGGATAGGTGAGAATATGATACTGGTCCTGAGGTGAAAGATATTGTGTGCAAGTAGCAAGTTATTAGGTGATGTTTTAAGAGTATAGTGTTTGGTTCAGAGAGAATAGCCCTCGCAGTTTAAAAAAAAAAGTTTACATGTATTAAAATATTGTTCAGCACAAAAGAAAGCCACTAGCATGCACGTGCATGTGAACGATCCAAAGTTTTTTTTTTCTTCTTCTTATTCGCCGGTACTCTCCCGGCCCGGGTCTTTTCCAAGTAGTGGTGACCCGGCCTTGGCTCCCTATCTCGGGAGCAGCTCGAGACCTAAGTCTCCCATGGGAGGAGATACAAGTACCCCCTCATCTTTGGGACCAACTGTCCCCAGGCCTAGCTACAGTCCCCGCCCTCAGGGGCTCGTAGTTAGTTAGTTTAATATCTTTATTATGCACCCCATACCCATCCTGTGGGCGGTAGTCAAAAGATTACAGAGGTACATAATGGGTCCAGGGACTGGGCCTCAAAGTTTTGATAGCTGAGCAAGTTACAGAGTTAATGAATTCACAATTTACAAAGGTAATGAACTCACAATTTACAAAGGTAATGAACTCCAGGTAGGTCTAGTCACAATCATGACTCGTAGGGAGAAGCTAGGCCCGGTGGCCTGGTGGCTAAAGCTCCCGCTTCACACACGAAGGGCCCGGGTTCGATTCCCGGCGGGTGGAAACATTTCGACACGTTTCCTTACACCTGTTGTCCTATTCACCTAGCAGCAAATAGGTACCTGGGTGTTAGTCGACTGGTGTGGGTCGCATCCTGGGGGACAAGATTAAGGACCCCAATAGAAATAAGTTAGTCCTCGATGACGCACTGACTTTCTTGGGTTATCCTGGGTGGCTAACCCTCCGGCGTTAAAAATCCGAACGAAATCTTATCTTATCTGCCCCGCCCCAAAGGGGCTCGTGGGGATGGCAGTCTTACGAGGTGCAGGTGGTAGCACGCTTAGGCCTTCGCAAGGCCCGATCCAAAGTCCTAAGAAACTAAGGGTTATGGCTGTTAGTTAGTTAGTTTAATATGTTTATTATGCACCCCATACCCATCCTGTGGGTGGTAGTCAAAAGATTACAGAGGTACATAATTGGTCCAGGGACTGGACTCCAAATTTTGATAGTGAGAAAGTTACGAGGTAAAAATTTCACAATTTCAAAGGTAATAAGTCACAATTTAAAAAGATAATGAACTCATGGCTGTTATGTGATTCAAAACAAAAATGCCTCAGTAAAAATAGGTCACTCAGATTTTTTTGGGGGTTATCCTGGGTTTCTTACACATACTGCTTTGTATTAATTTTGTAATGTATTTGTTATACTACCTGAATGAGTTTACTGATCTGCTGGACGGTCACTGATGATAAATCTTGTCTGGGAAATTTAGGTGGTTCTCAGTGTGGAGTGCATGCGTTATTTATGTCTTTCCTGTGGGTTTAGCGTTTCTCCATCAATATAATATTAATTTATGTTATTAAAAAAAAAATTGAACCCACACTGGGGGAAAAAACTTCTTTGGTTAATAAACTGTAACCGGGGTTTAACTGTCCGTTTTTTATATTAACCTGATTACTCACATTCCCAAAGCGCTATGATCCTTACGGGCTTATTGCTTCCCCTTATATATAAAACCCATTGTTTCTTTACTGATTTCATTTATTTCAGTAAATCAGAACTTACTTAATTGAGGGTACAAATCCATCTCATTAAGGTAAATCTATAACTTTCGGGAACCCAAACAGAGAATCTTTAAGACACAATAAAAAAACCCCTTATAATGCCTTTTAAGTAGTAACCCCGCCTGGAGTCCCACTAGGGTAAGCATGTGCAAAGCCTAGTGAAGTTCAAAGGT